AGAGATATCAATTTGTTGCCTCCTGTACATTTCTTTGACCTGGGATCAAACCCACTACCTGGGTATGTGCCCTGACCAGGAATTGAACCTACAAACCTATAACCTTTTGGTGTAAGGGAAGACACTCCAACCAACCGAGCCACCTGACCAGGGCCTACTTATTGTTTTTTGAACTAATATTTGCTGAGAGTTTTTTTCTGCAAGTCCTCTAAGGAGAAAGAGGGTTCTGTCTTATTCTCTGGCATGGGAGATAGACATTTTATACAGAAATTCTCTAAAGCCAGGCAGATAATGGCATATGTTGAAAAAGAGATTCTGAGGAGGAAGAGAGGAAGTGCCGCAGAAGACTTTAGGAACACGGTGAGGAGGAGGCCTATCTACTGTATTCTCAGTCGGCACCAAATTTCATGTCATTCCTCAAATCTGCTGTGTTCTTCTGTGTGCCCTTTACTTTATGGAGTGTCCCACCACTTCATCGCTGATAAACACCTATGAGACTTAAGGCTGACTAAAATGATAATTATGTCTTAATTCCCCAGAACTCTTGCCCTCTGGTTGTTCCTTTTACTGGCATGTTTAATTATGTGGGTGTAATATTCTCTTGAATCTCTCTTGGATACTTAGGATTTTTAAGAGATTTCCTCCTGGATTGGGAACTCACACTGAAAACTAACGTCGCTTCCCAAAGCCAGATGCCTCTGCTATCATCTTCCCAGCAAAATGGGTTTTGCATCAGATCTCAAGTGACATCTAACTCAGTACCAAGTGGGCGAGGCTGGTTGTGGACCCTTGGTTGCTAGCCTGGGCCCTAGCCCTAAAGGAGGGTGGTGAAGAGCATTTTCTGTGTTCTGTCTTAGGGAGGCAAGCTCCTAAAAGCTACAGATTTCCCACACATAGCAAGGGTGTCTAGAAGGTGCTAGACAGACAGAAAAACACTGTAACATCTACTACATGTTACATATAATTTCCTTCTGCAACTGCGTAATGAATGGAGCATTTATATTTCTGTTGAAGTTAATCTGACATGTTCTTTTACCTCCAGTGTCATTAAAAAGAATTCCATTCAGACAAGAATTTAAAATTTATTAACCAATATTTAGTCATTGTGATTCCATAATTTTACTTTTTGGTGGTACTTTATTATTTCTCATTTAAGTAACACAGTATTTATATCACTTTTATTTAGGAAAAATTAACCAGGGTTTCTTACTTGTGAGCAGCTAGGTGATATTATTTTTAAAATAACTATGTATGACTTTCATGTGCCAATTTCCAAGTGTATTTAAAATGTTTATTACTGTATCATATTATTGTATGGATATACTACAATCGACTCTTCCCTTATTTTTAGACATTTAGGCTTTTTGCCTATATTCTATATTACAAATAACTTGGAAAAAATGTATCAGTCACTGTTCTGGGTTACAAGAAACAGAGATGGACTTTGCTTAAAAAAACAAAAACAAACCCAAAACAGAAACTGAATTTATTGGGAGGCTTGGGTAGTTCACAGACTCATGGAAATTCAGAGAACCAGGTTTGTAAACCACACCGATATCAAAGTAGCCAGAAACAAGGCCAGAGAAACTCCTCAGAAACAGGCTGCTTCCCGCTGCACCATAGGCCAAGACACTCCCGAGGGGTGGTCACTGCCGCCATCTTCACTGCTGCCAACACTGGCCTCACGCCACTGCTGTCCCCTAATCACTCCTCCGATTTCCCTGCACCTTCGCATCTCTCTCCCTCAGAGTCAAGGTCCAGGGTGTTCATTTGGCCGAATCCAGGTCACTTGCTTGTCTTCTTGATGCCAGTGGGCAGGGAGAAGGAGTGTCTGGTGGGGACCTATCTTCTACCAAGACTCATGCAGTGTTTGTTTTCACTGAAACAGGAAGGGAGATTTCATGCTAGGTCGAGGGGAGACACAGAAACTTATGTCTTTCTGCATAGGTTTTAGCATGTATTTCATTTAGGGATTGATTCCTGGTATGAGTGTCCTGGTATGAAATTCTTAAGCTTCCTTGCCTTCTACCTGCTCCTTTATTTTAAAAATGCTCTTCATGATTCTTCTGTCATCGTACTACATGCTTCCCTGTGTGATCTCACCCATTCCCATGGTTCAGGGTTTCAAGCCACTATAGATGTATGGGTGAGTCTGAAGTACTCATTTCCAACCCAGTTCTCTCCCTTGAACTTCAGACATCTGTTTACCTAACACAATCTGTGGATATCTGCGAATATCAAAAGGTCCTAAACAGAATTCATCATTTACCGTCTCAAACCTAACACATCTCTGTTCCCTAGTTTGGTCAATATGATTAACATCCCCCTCGTTGACAATATCAGGAAGTTAGTGTTTATCCTTGATCCTTCCTCCTCCCTTTACCCTTCCATCACATTATCTCTAGCATCTGTAAATTCTACTTCCTAAGTTTCTCTGGAGTCTGTCTGTCCAATATTCTGCACTCCCAGGAGACATTCCTCAGTTCAGGCACTTACCACTTTTGTTTTAGATTATGAAGTTTGCTTCCTTACTGGGTTTTCTACCTCTAATCTTGCCCTCACCAGCTGCAGTTTTAAAGTGCATGTTGTTTCTTTTATTAAGATATGATTAAGTTTGATTATTTCTGCCAGGAAGCCTTTTTCAACCACTTTGTCCCTTCCTGTCCAACTAACAGAGGGTAGTTGACCCTCTCTGGTTCCCAAGGTGCCCTGGGCTTACTGGTGAGCTTCACACCTTGTTAAAATCTTTGCTGCCAAGAGACTGAGAACTCCTTGAAGGCAGAATCTTGTGAGATTCATGTTGAATCACCAGTGTAATGCCGACACAGAGTAGGCACTCAGTATGAGGTTCTTAAAAAAATTATTGACAGCATTACAGATGTCTCCCATTTTCTTCCTTTTTGTCCCCCCTCCACCTCAGGCCTTCCCAATACTATTGTCTGTGTCCATGGGTTGTGCATATATGCATACTAGAAGCCCGTTGCATGAAGATTTGTGCAATAGGCCTTCCTCCCCTTGGCTGCCAGCATTGGTTTTCCTCTGGTACCCAGGACTCAGGCCTTTGGTCCGGCCGCAGTGGAGGAGCCAAGCCTTGAGGCTAGGCTTCTCCCCTCTGGCTGCAGCGAGGCTTGGCTTCTCTGCTGTGGCCGCGCCCACAGTGGAGAAGCCAAGCCTCTTCAGTCTTCAGTCTTCACTCAGCCAGAGCTCTGTGCCTGCGTATGCAAATTAACCGCCATCTTTGTTGGGTTAATTTGCATACTTGTCCTGATTGGCTGGTGGGTGTAGCAGAGTGACACCAATTTGCATGTTTCTCTTTTATTAGTGTGGATATAATTCTGTTTTGCTGCTTTATCCATAGTCATCACTCTCCAAAGTGTAATATTTATGTGTTGTCTTCTTCATTTCCCACCATCCTCCCCAAAATACAAGCTCTGTGAATTCAAGAAATCTGTCATGTTCACATCTGCATCTCCAGCAATTAGGGTGGTGCCCAGCAATTTTGACATTCAATCTTGCTATCATAGATAATTCACTGTCTCTTCTTAGTTTGACAGGCTTTAGAAACTTTAAGGTTTTTCTTCATTTTATGCTACTTTTGTCAAGGCATTAAATCTTCCCTGAACCTGTTTTTCCTCTGCAAAAATAGGAAAAATTATCTTCCTTTGATATCTGTGTTGATACATGTGACAGTGAATGAATAATACAAGTTTCACTTCTTATATTCAAACTGTCCCACCTTTTTTTCTTTTTTTTTTTTATTCTGGGATGTATTTACCTTCTATAATTGAAACTTTGTTGCCGCTCCAGCTCCCAGGCCATGGCCTGCTGAAAGCAGGTATCTGGGGTTTGTTTAGTTTCTATAATTGCAACTTTGTTGCTTAGAGTGGAGCTCAGAGCCTGGCCACGGCAGGCGGGGAACCTTGGCTTCCTCCATCACTAGAGCAAGCAAGCCTCCTGCTCACTTCAGCTGCGTGGCTGCCAGCCGCCATCTTGGTTGGGTTAATTTGCATATCCTGCTGATTAGCCATTGAGAAGCATAGCGGAGGTATGGTTAAGTACCATGTTTGTCTATTATTAGATTAGATATGTTCTTCAGTATGAGATTTTTGAATTGTTATGAATGGGTCTTTAGTATGAAACTATAATGTTAGTTGAATGAGTTAGATGGCCAGTTAAATTCATAAAATCCAAACAACTGAGTTTATAGGTCCTATGTTACTTTTCAGGGACAAATTTTGAAATTACCATGTCCATTATAGGATAAACATGATTTCTCCCTCTTCATCATATTACAACCACTTTCACAAAGTGGAGAAATGAGCATGCAATGAGAATCAGACTGTGAGGCTAAGAGATTTATTTCACAAGGCAAAAAACCTACAAAGGGTAATTTATGGAGATACTTTACACAGAGTTGGCAGATAATGAAATCATAAACTATTTAAATTTTTTCTTTCACTATGCCAGTGTTAATTCTGTGCTTTTGTTTTATTTTGTTTTCTTAAAAAATTTTTTTTGGATGAAATTCTGAGCATTGAAGTAGCAGTCTGAAAGGAATATTATGTTTTGGGAAAAAATATAGCATGGGGATGATCTGGTGACCATTTTTTCCTTCTAGTGTGATCTGTCTGTCTGGCTGATCCCAGGCGAAGGATATACACTGGCAGTCACCCAGCATCAGCAGCTTGCTGAAATAGATACAAAACTCCAAGAATTCTCTGCAGCCTCCCCAACAACGTTCAGCTTTTCTCCAGGACTTGGACATCAGAATGATCAGGTATATCATACTCAAGAGTGCATGGACCGCTCAGGTGTATGTGTGCTAAAGCTAGTTCACGTTTGGCAGTCCACTTGTTAACAAAGAGGTTTCTTCTCCATTGATTTTCCTCCTTCCCAGTTGCTTATCCTTCCATGACCACAACTGCAGCAATAGTAATTTCTATTATAGTGTGTATTTTCCTTTGGTGATTTCTCTCTATTCATTTTTATTTCAGTTGGGATGGAGTTACTGAGCAAATATTATTTTAATATTATTATTTCTTAAGATTTAAGCTAATTCTTTTTGTTGTTATTAATCCTCACTTGAGGATATTTTTCCATTGATTTATAGAGAGAGTGGAAGGGAGGGGAGAGACAAAAAGAGGGAAACATTGATGTGAGAGAGACACGTCAATTGGTTGCTTCCCGTATGTGCCCCAACTGGGGCTAGGGATCAAGGTACATGCCCTTGACTGGAATTGAACCTGTGACCCTTCATTCCATGGGCCAATGTTCTATCCACTGAGCCAAACCAGCTAGGGCTAAGCCAATTCTTGATTGTGATCAGGAGGGAGGAGAGGGAAGAAAGTCGATGTAGCACTTATTAGTACTTTGAGAGCCATGTTTCTCTTTATTCCTCTAGTTCTAGGTATTAGCACTGGTAGCCACTGTCCCTTATTCTGACACATTCTTTAGCAACTTTAATGGAACATCAAGCAGTGAAGCTCACCAGATTGATGTCTACTCTCCTATGAGTATTTTGAAATGAATGTGTTTCTTCTCTCAATAGTTCCCTCAAATATTCTTTTACAAAGCTGGTAGGATGTGTAGAAAACTAGAAGAATAATAGCAGCTTTGGAAAAGTAAAATTATTCCCTCTCCCCCACCCCCACTATATTTCAGTACTTCTTGGGATCTAGTTTGGCCTTGGATAGCAGTTTTCTTTTTCTTTTTTTTTTTTTTAATATATTTTTTATTGATTAAGAAATTACATATGTGTCCTTGTCCCCACGTTCCCCTCTACCCCCCCCCCGCTCTTGCCCT